ATAGATATACAGCTACTGTGTCTTAGTTTGATGAGAAGAAAGATTTGTACTAATATTGTTTAGGCAAGATATCATGTCTGCATCTTGTATTATGAATAACTACTATGAAGACAGCAAAATGCAATGTATTAATTATTGTAATTGTCATACTAACCTGTTCTGAAGCTGTTTAATTTTTGTTTTATCTTCCCTTCTCATTAAAATGAATAAAAAATAAAGTTTGGAGATTGCTCAGTGGAATAAGTGCTTGCCTGGCAATGTAAGGTCCTGAGTTCAATCCATGGTACCAAATAGAAGAAACAATGCATTCTTCCATTGTTAAACTGAGTGCCCAAAAATGTTTCAACTATTATACGGAGTGAGTTCTGTAAACTTGCTGATTTCCTGCATTAGTCTATTGATTGTAAAAAGACAGTTTTTGTTTGTCTTCTCCTCAGTTTTCCAAGTTATTTTCAACACTGTATCTTCATGATGGACATGAAATTTAATGGTGCATACACATTGAGATGGTCAAATGATATTTTATTTTCAAAGAATTCAAAAATTTACAAAACTGCACATAGTTTTATATTTAGTCACAAAGCAAAAGCTATAAGGTTCGAATGTTTATGAAAGCAGAAAACTATTAAGCAGATAACATAAGTAAAATAAGTTAAGATATACAAATTTAAAATATCAAAGTAATGTTTTGAGAAATAAATGCATATTGTAATGCTACTTTTTCATATGTAGCAATATTTAATGTAGTGCTTATGACTTCTAGTTTTTCTTTTAGGGATAAGCGTCACACAAAAAATATAACCGTGTGTATTTATTAATAGTTTTGCATAACATTCCAGTTAAACTGAAGGTATCATTATAGAGCTTAACAGTATATTTACATCACAAACAGGAAAAAGTTGAAATAATGCCATTTAAAATGATGCTTAAAATTCAGTTATCTGCTGTGCGTGTTTTTAAAACAACTTTAATCTTTTAGGCTCTTCTCCTTTCACCTATAAATTGTGCAAGAAGCACAAAGAGACCCTCAGCACTTGCACAAGAACACTGTTTCATTGTTGCATTTCTGTGGCTCACTCGCTACAACTGTCCACATAATTTTCTTACTAAAATTTACAGACTACATAAGAGTTTGCACTCCTTGCTATACAAGGCTAAGAGCTATGCGAAGTGCATTACACATGGTTTCAGCAATTGCATCATCTGGTCGATGAGTTCCACTTCCATAAAGGAGATGGGTGCTTCCTGTCATCTTTTCAGTATTTCTGAACCACTAACATGTTTTTTTTTCTTCTTTTTCTGTCTATACTCTTGCTTTGCCCAGAGACAAAATGTACTCTTCGTATATAAATAATATAAATATTTGCTGCAAAGTCTGTATATCTTCCTGAGTCATCTCATTCTTTCCTTTAACTTATTTACATTTTCTAATTAACTAATTTAAAACTATCTTTGACTAATAGTGTTTGGACAGGATATATGTCTGCATCTTGTGCTATGAATGACTAGTACAAAGACAACAATATGCAATGTATTAATTGTTGTAACTCTCCGACCAACCTGTTTTGAAGCTGTCACATTGCAATTTTTCTCTAAATAAATTTAAAAAATAACCCAGCTCACCTTGGAACTATACCCACATGGTCCATCTCCCCCCCAAAAAAACTATCTTTGAAATTGATAACTGAGATTCTAAAACACAAATACACGTATTCCTGTATACTTATTTCTAACTATGGGTCATGTGCACTGAAATCTTCACATGCCTGTACCATAAACAAATTGCTAAACGAGGTCTAGTTCTAGAGAACTCTTTCAGGATAGAGGGAATGAAGTTAAAATGAAGAAACATATTTTGCAAGAATAATACAATTATAAACAAATACTGAAGTATTACAAAACTCAAAGTTTTCCTTCAGAAAGATAAATTCCTTGTCGCTATACTGACATTATTCTGGAGGGTTCTTGGTAAGTATATGATGAGAAACCAAACTATATATTCCATAGTATTGGATACACTTTATACATGGTGCCATGTTAAACTCAATTTTCCAGTATTGTTTTACTCTGAATCACCCTCCCAACTCAAAAAGTACAGCGAGAAATACAAGATGAGACAGGAGTGACTTAGATATCTCAGGAAAAAGAAGGACATTACTTGCGAAAGAGAAAAACTGAAATTTGTGTGTCTTTGGACATTAGCTCCTAAAAGGATACTCAGAAAAAAGAACACCAGGCATCAACCAGAGGAAAGATAAAAGTCAACACTGCAATAGGAGCACAAGAAAACTCAGAATAGGGAGCAAAACTTAGGGCAGCAGCCGTTACTTATCTGGTTTTACAGACCAGATCCTCATAAGCATATAATTAACACATGTGTAGCTGTTACCATTGACTATATTCTCAAAAGAAATAGCATCCATAGTTTCAAGTATTATGTTAAATCCAGTAAAGCACAATGCAAACTCTGGTTACTCCTTTCAGGCCAATCCAAAACTATTAAAACAAGTATAAAAATTACATTAATCTCATGTCTTCTGAGACTTGTTTCTTGCTCCACAACCTCCTCATGGCATTTTTCACTTCTGCATTCCTCAGTGTGTAAATCAGAGGGTTGAGCAAAGGTGTCCCAATTGTGTAAAACACAGCTATCATCTTGTCCATGGGAAAGGTGGTGGCAGGGCGTGTGTAAATGAATATGCAAGGTACAAAGAACAGGATGACCACAGTGATGTGGGAGACACAGGTGGACAGGGCTTTTCTCCTGCCCTCAGCACTGTGGTTCCTGAGAGAATGCAGGATGACGACATAGGAACACATCAGTAAGACAAAGCTCACTGTACAAATGGCCCCGCTGTTGGACACTAGGAGCAGGTTGACCACGTAAGTGTCCGCACAGGCAAGTTCCAACAGAGGCTCCAAGTCACAAAAATAGTGATCAATCACATTGGGGCCACAGAAAGGCAGGCTCAAGGCCAGAAAAATCTGAACTAAGGAATGCACACAGGATCCCACCCAGGCCACAGCCACCAACACGCCACAGACCCTGCGGTTCATGATGGTCGTATAGTGCAGGGGCTTACAGATGGCCACATAGCGGTCCACAGCCATGAGGATCAGGATGAAGATCTCCAGGCAGCCAAAGAAGTGGAATGTGAAGACTTGGATCAGACACTCACTGAAAGTAATTGTAGCCTTTTTCACAAGCAAGTCCACAATCATTCTAGGGGCTATGGAAGTAGAGAAGCAGGTGTCAGACAGGGACAAATAGAAAAGGAAGAAGTACATTGGACTCCCAAGCGCACGACTGGTCTTGAGGGTAGTAATAATCAACAAGTTACCCCACAATGTCCCCAAGTAAAAAAGCAAAAAGATGACAAATATCATTTTCTTCCAGACTGGATCTTGTGTCAACCCTAGCAGAACGAACTCAGTAACGTTATTGTTCAGGTGCATGATTTCATGAGCAAGAAGGTGAACAGACTCTGAAACAACTTGTCTGCAAAAGATAATGGGTTTTATTCACGACTTGTTATTAAAAGGACTAAAATATTTGTCATAATTAACTGTGATGTTCTTCAAAATTATGCATTTTTAAAAGCAAATATAATACTAGCTTATTCAGTGCAATCTACCTATGATTTCTCAATAAATTAACTCCAAACTTTTCTCCTCTCCTGTTAATTGTGATCCATGGTGTATCATGAGTCTAAGATAAGGTGCTGAATGTGATGCTTTGGTATTTTTATTTCATTTTTTAAAGAGTACAAAACATTTTTAAAAACATTAGAAACAAGGAAAATTTTATTAAATAGAGTAGTAGAAATTCAACAATGTTTGCTGTATTGCATGATGTTATCTTCAAATTAATAGTTTACATTATCAAATATAAACCTGCAAAAAGTTATAAGAAATTAAATGGAAAATATGTGAATAAAAAATACGCATCAATTTTGCCTTTAAACTGACCAATGGAAATCAGCAGCACTATTACCAAACATATCCTGCATATATACATAGACACAAATGCTTCCTTGCTTTTTTCTTTTCTTCATTTCAGTTTTTCCTTCTTCTTTCTGATTAAACTCTTCATATACAAACATTTATTAGCTCTGATGTGGTTCTGATAAATTTTCACTTTTAATCAATACAAAATTATGGTACAATATTGTGTGATTTTTCCTTCCCTTCATTTTATATAGCAGAAAATTCTGGTGCCCTTTTTATCGTGGTGAGTGACTTAGCATTTAAGCTCTGCTGTAATGTCTTTGGAGTTCAAGAATAGCTATGAAAAACCCCATACCAGAGTCTCCTGCACACAGATGTCTGCACATGATATACATCACCTGCTCACTTAGCTTACACCAATGTATATCATTCATAAGTACATGATATGCACCAACTTTCTTCTAAAATATGTCATTTGGAAAAGGGAAACGTGACACATTCCATTGCCCATTTAACAATATCTGCAATCTTCAAGTATATTTATCCTATGCTTGTGCTCTAGCACATAACAAAGTACACAAATGAATGTTCTCTTACAGTCTGTAATGCATCAGGTATGTTCTTCTGTAATTTTGTTTCTCTATTTTATGACATGCAACCAACAGAGCAGTAAGGAAAATAAGGACACCTTTCTAAATTAAAGGGACACTGGTGCCATTTACCAGTTCATTTATGGTCACCAGACACTTGCTCAAGGACCAAGTGATGTTTTTCAATCTCCAAAATCCCACAATCTGGAAAGTACTGGGAAACTCAAGTACAAGGAACATGTCATTCAAAAGAGCCATTGTATGAATTTCTTTTCCTATGAATGAAGGACCATTTTCCATTTGGAAAGCATAAAAAGGTTCAACTTTGAAGTTTCAGTTACTTAGGTAGAATTTTAATTCAATTCCAGAAGGAAACATTTTATGTCAGTGAGGAAACCATTTTCAGAACTTTCTAGTCATTGTTGATGAAAAACTCTGCAATTTAAAAAATGTAACCTTAAATACTAAGTATTCAAATGTATTCTAAGGACTGGGGAGATAGATCAGTAGAATAAGCGCCTGCCTAGCAAGTGCAAGGCCCTGAGTTCAATCCTCAGTACCACAAAAAATAAAATAAGTGTATTCTAAGATAATCAATTAACTTACGACATTCCACTAAGATTTCACTCCAAACTCCAATAAATTATTATAGTGGATCACGTTATTTCTATTTTGAACATTATAAAACCTCTCCCTAATTCAAAACTACTCTTAAAAAAGACTCTGATGAAGTTATTTATTCTGTAGATAAAAACATAATTTAACTGTATCTGAATGTGGGTTGATCATGAGGGAAAGATCATGAAAGATAGAAATTGAGTTGACACTCTAATCATTACAGTAGGACATGTTGGTTTCACTTAAATAAAAGATGGGTTGATTACAAAATATTGACACAAAAATAGCAGTCTTGGATAATAATAAGATGTGCAAGTCTTGCACTACAATCTTCAAAGATTTGGAGTACCTCTCTCACTGTGCATTTTGTAGAAAAAAATGCATCGATAGAGCAATACATAGATAGCTATACAGATGATGGGTACGTAGGTATATAGAGATAATTTATTATCAATTTCATTAGTGTGACTATTTCTAGCACAAGATTATTTTGTTTTGTACCAGAATTTTAAGTTAAACATTAATAATTACTATGTATGAGTATAATTTTCATAATTGAAAATCTTTGTCAAATATATAGTAATTTCAGAATAAAATTAATATCTGAAAGCATCAGTTGTCGTAAAGCCCAACTGGATCTTTTTTTTGTGCTACCCACGATGTGCTATTTTAATCATATATTATTAGTATTTAACACATTTTTGCATCTAAACATATTTAAAGTATTTATTTTACTGATAAATTAGTATATTTTGCAATCTACTATCCATGAGAAATATTGAGATACATGTAAGCTATTATCTAGAAAGAAGTGAACATATACCTAAAACCGCTTTTCATTATCTAGCCAAAAAAAAGGACATAGCTCTCAAATCAAGAAATATTTATTGAAATCTGATATAACCAAGGTAGGTTAAAGACACAATGGAACATTGAAGATTAATACCTGTATGTGATGCAATTATTATAGAAATGTTGTAAAATCCGAAGACAAAAATCACATGGTATACAATATCTAAATTTACCTTGTTTTTTCCTTTCTTCCTTCAATGCCTTTGCAATTACAGCTCCTGAAATCATCTGATTACTTTAAAGTGTCACTTCTGAGAAGTTCAAAGTCTAGTTGATAAAGGAATTCTCAGCTTTGCTACCGAAGCCTTTCATTGAGGGTTAACATTACATACTAATGGTAACCATACAAGTATATATGTCTTGAAACATATTTACTTGGAATAAATGTACTGGAAATATACCTGTTGTTATAATGTTTCTAAACAATATTTTGTGTCTTGTAGATATGCACTTTGTGGTTTCAAATTGTACATTCTCTATTATGTACTTCCGAGATTCAGATAAATGCATGTGTAGTAATGCTCTCATTATACAACATATTCACATCTTAGGTTACTGGGTCTTTCTATGTATTCATCATCACAAGGAGAGAAATAAAGCAAGAAAGAGCAAATCCAAGCCTGAGATCAATTTGAAATACCACACTAGCTTAGGTGCGCAACCTGAAGCAGGTCTTGTACCAGATCACCATCTATGACACTGCAAGGTTAAGATCTATGCAACGATCATCTTGAAAACTTTGGGTTAGTTTCCACATGTGTGTGCAGAATCCTCTCCCTCACATTGTGAACGAGGCTTTACACTTACCCCTTATGCTAACTCACAGTTCTATGTGTGTGCATTCATGTGATCTTCTGTATCCATTTTCCTTTCCAGAAGAGTTGAAAAGGAATATGACAACACAATGCATTGCCAGTCTCAAGACGATGCAGCACCAGCAGCCCAGCTCATTGTGTCAGGACAGGTGCACTCACAGCATCATTTCATATCATGTGAGCCATCTTTGGTATGACAGAAAAAGCCAAGCAAAGAGAAAGAAATGGAACAACTCATAAGTAATTCATGTCTTTCTCTCTGTTCCCACCTAACAATCACAGCTCTCAGACACCTGTGGACAAAGGATTACTTTGTCCTGCAATAGTCGCTATAGTCCCTTACTTTCCATACTAGAAGTAATATTAATAAAACCCAATGTGGGTTCTTCTTTGCATTTTTCTGTTCCTTTTTCATAGCATGTGGCTCAGTTACTCTTCTGTCTTTTCTGCTACAAATACCCAACACCCTAAAAGAAGGAAGGAAAGGTTTATTTAACTCACAATTTGTAGATATTTCAGTCCATACTTAGCTGGCTCCAATGTAGACTGGCACATGGCAGAGGGCAGCAGGTCATGGAAACAAAAGGCAGCAAAACAGAAAGAGCAAAGGGGAGAAGTAACAGCAACAATGGCGACAGAGAACAAGTCTGTCTCCCTGTCTCTCTTATGTTACATTCAGGCTATCCACCCCAGTCTAGGTGTAGCTCTGACACTCATAATCCCAGCAGTACTCAGACCCGTAATCCCTGTGTTGGATCATGAATTAATTACAAACCATGGAAATGTGCCTCAATGACAGTATGAGACTGGGGGAACAAATACACAGAAACTATAACAACATACAAGAGGGTAATAGGCAAGATGCAAATGGATTTAAAGTAGATAATTATACTCCACCACTCTGTAATATGACTTTTCTTTCTTCAAAAAGAAAAACAGTCTGTAGCTTACCTGTTAGAGGAGTGTATAATCTAGCGATGAGGACCTCCATTCCTTATTGATAGGAGCCCATCCATGTTATATTGAGGGAAAAATATTCCCTCCTATGTTCTAGGAGAAATAGTTCAAGCAATAATTATATAAGGTCAGATCATCCTAGAGGACATTATTCCCTAAGGATTCTTTGTCTTTGTTAGTCAACAATAGCACAAAGATAATATTATTATTTTTTTTGTTTTCCTAGTTAGACTGAAAGAGTAATAAGCTCCTCCTTCCAATCAGAGAAACAGAGACAATAGCGCTTTTGCATTACATGCATTAAGCTGAAGAAACTTAAGAGGGAAAAAGAGGAAGCATAAAAGGACAGTGAAGAGGGTGGTAGATAACAATGTAATAATATTCATGAGAAAAAAAGAAGACAAGAACACAATCCTGCATTCACCCAAAACCCTCTTTTTTCAGATTTTGCTATACATCAAACATGTCTAATTATACAAATTTCTTGGCAAATATAATGCTGGGAAGGGAGTATTGCATTCTGAAGGTAGAGATTCTCTGTTGTGGGCTCTAGACATCCCACACCACACAGTTCCAGATTTCAGGAATTTCTTTGAGGACTTTGAAGTACATCCAATATTGACTGTAATGTAACTGATGTCACATACTTCTTCAAACAAATTTCCACTTTTGTTTC